ATTAATATTAAAAAATCAATAGCTTTTCTGTATATCAAGAGCTGGTTAGGAAATAGAATATTCCATATACAGTAACTATGAAAATTCAAGTACCTAGAAATAACCTATATATGCTAGCACTGTATGAACATAATACTAAAATTCTGAAGGAGTGTGGAAGACTGCATACATGGAAAGGCATTCCTTTTTCCTGGATAGAAGAACATATTTGATAACAATGACATTTCAAATTAGGGAAGAATGGATGAATTTAAAAAAATATTTCTGACATATAGGAAAAGAGTTAATTTCTTTACTATTTAGAGAATTCATAATAAAAAAGCAACAAATACAGACAGTTCATAGAAAAAATAAAATAGAGCCAACAGCATAAAATATACCTCATTTCATTCAAAATTAAAAAAATCATAGTTTTCCACTTACCATATTATACTTTATTAACTTTTGTTTATGATATAAAGAACAGAAATAGAAAACTCCCAGATATTATTGGTCAGGTTTATAATATAACCTTTTGGAGGACAAGTAGGTAATATAAATTTTTAAAAATGCAGATTGCAGATACCGTTTAACCTAGCAACACTAGGCTTAGGAATTTACCCTATATATAAAGAGGTCCTTTGCAGCACTATTTTTAATAGCATGATGGTGAAATAAAAAGCTTTATGTCCAAGAATCTGTATGGATATCCAGAGAATTATGCTGAGTGAATACAGCCAATTTCAAAAGGGCACATATTTTATAATTCTATTTATATAACTAACATTCTTGACATGAAAAAATTATAGAAATGAAGAACAGATTAGTGGTCACCAGGGGTTAAGGGGAGACAAGTGAATGAGGGTGGCAGGGGAAAAAGGTGTGTCTATAACACAAGAAAGAGATTATTGCAGTGATAGGAAACATTATGTATCTTGACTATATAAATGTCAATATCCTGGTTGTGATAATTCTACTACAGTTTTATAAGATGTTACCACTGGAGGAACTGGGTAAAGGGTACAGAGGATCTCTCTGTACTATTTCCTACAACTGCATGTTAATCTACAATTATCTCATAATAAAGTGTGCCCTGGCCAGCTAGCTAAATTGGTTAGAACATTGTCCTGACACACCAAGGCTGTGGGTTTGATCTCCAGTAAGGGCACAAACAAGAACCAACCAGTTGGAATGCATACATAAGTAAAACAACAAATAGATGTCTCTTTCTTCTCCCTCTAAAGTCAATAAATAAAAAAAATTTTTTTAAACTGTAATTAGGAAAAAGCTTGATATCCATCAACAGGGAACCGATTAAATAAACCATGGGACATTGATTCAATGCAAACATTAAACTAAAGGGCAGTAGATCTGTATGTGTTGATATGGAAAAATTTGATAAATAGAGTGAGGTTGGAAGGAAGGTATAGAATATCTGACCTCTTATAGCAACAACAATAATAATGTGTTTGCAGATACATTAATTTATTGGGTATCTTTTCAAGAAAAAAATACAATAATGGTGGTAACCTTATAGAATCAGGAAACAGTGAGATTGGGGAAAGCTCACCTTAATCCTTCCTATACTATCCAATTTTTTTTAACCATATGCATGTATTGTTTAAAATTTAAAAAAATACTAATCACATTTTATGTTTTTAATTTTCATGTAAGTGAGAAAAGCAAAAACAAATACTACTGAGGGGAAAAAAAAAAAACATTGGTTTAGGCTGGCTTAGCTCCTTGAAGATAAAAAATTTAATTCTCCAAATAAAAGGAACATGCCAATTTCTTATGCAGTCTCTAGTGTTTCTCTTTTCTCCTTTACCATTTCTGTAGATCTTTACAATGGTGTAAATGTGCTACCATTTCAAACTTCACCTTTCTTTGCTCTCCTCATATGACATTTATTGAGCATTATCCACGTAGCAGACTCTGTGCTAAGAGCTGGAGAACAATCTCAAGCCTCTCTCTAGGAGGTGAACCAAAATATAGAGATTAATAGAATATAATATAGGAATCACAAGGTATTACAGAACCCTGAGAAGGGAGATCTAACGCACCTCAGGGGGGGTTGTTAGGAAAAAACAAGGCCAGAGTAGACTCTATGCAAAAGAGGCCTGAACAAGGCCTTAAAGACTCACTGGGAAACAGCTGTAAAACACTGGTGGACTTTATTTTTAACTACAGTAACTTTATTAAATGAAGACAAAGCAAAGGCAAGAACCCCAAGGGCCATCGATTGGAAATTTTAAAGATTGTGCCAATACAGTTTCTTTTTATGATTTTAAATGGAAAAATATAAGTGCTTACCAGATGGCTGTCATATTTACTTCTCTTTTTTCCAGGTTGTGCAATTATGCAAACCAGGAGAAAATGACCTATACTTTTCTCAGCTTACCAGTTTTTCTATTACTGATCCCCTACAACTGAACACTCTTGTTCTCGTCTGCCCCTCAGGATCCCATTAAGGCCATGGCACAGACAGACCTGTCATCTCCACCTCCAGTCTCCAGGTCTCATCAGTTCAACATCCCAAGTACCGTCCCCTTCCCAGAATGGGTTAACTGTTCAGCCAGGATGGAAATAAAGGCCTAGAAGGAATACTCAAAAGTACAATTCTGTGAGATATTTTCTTAATTTTTCTTACAAAGCTAGCATTGCTTCCATCTGTCATAAAGGATCCTAAAAATACTACCCCAAGCATCCTAAGACACTAGTATGCAAAGCAAAACAATGAAAAGAAAAAGATGACATGGTATAAGAGGACAGCTTTGTAGGGTTTTTCTAGGCGGTGGGTACATGGGGGGAAGGCAATTAATTATATTTTACAAAAACAGTATAGTTGGCATATGGGGTTGAAGATTTCCATTTGTTGAAATTTTTATTCTTCCCTAATAGACATATGCTAGTTACACCAATTACTCCTCTACAAACCTTGGGTGTAAACACAGAACACCTTCCATAGTACCCAAATGGTAACTGCCCAAAGGAAGACAATACTCTGAATTATGTGAGACTCCATAAAGGCAGGGATTGTGTCTGTTTCATTCACTGTTACCACGCTAGCACCTGGCATAGCACCTTGTACATTGCAGGTACTCAAATACTGGGAATAAATAAATAAGCATATGATTACGCAACTAAATCAATTAGTAGCCTGGAATTAACATGTATTTTTTTAAATAAGATCATTTTAACTTTCCTTGACTTCAGTGTATTACAAACAATGGTCTCTCCAGTTCCACATGTTCAACTTTTACTGCCTAACATAAATTCTTTATAAAGTGTGGCCACTGTATAAAATCATGACATGTGGCTTACAAAATGCTTCAACACAAAGACAACCCATGGTAGCATGCAACAAGTGACCCAAGATAACTTTCAATGGCATGCCTTTAGATGCTGCACTATCTTGTCTTTTGATAGTTCTAAGCAACTTTATTAACAGAATTATGTCTTATTCCTTGGATCTTCCCCAGAGCCTAATACACAAAAGCATTCAACAAATCTACTGAGGGGAAAAAAAATCCACTTCCAATGTCAACTGACAAAATTAATGCAGGTAATCACTCAGGATTAAAATTACACATAAAGTATAAGAAACAAAAACCATGGGGAGGAAAAACATGGAAATCAACAAGAAAAATCTTTTAAGTTTGATGCCATTTAAAAAAGTGTGTAATTAATTTCACCACATACCAGAGAGATAAAGTGCTGACACTTAGAAAAGAACATTTAGAACTGAAAGACAAATTTGCAAAAAAAAAAAAAAAAAAAGTATCTGGGACAATTCTCAAAGTGGTGGAAAACCTGCGGCTCTCTTAACACTCCAGAGAACTGTCCCATAGCTGAGACTTTACTGCGGTACAAATGACCTCTTATGGTGCTGAGGTCTATTTAGTGTGTCTAAGAGACTGAGTATCAGAATTAATAAGTAGCGTTTAGAAATTTCAAACCTTAAAAAGGGTATAATTGTAACAATTTAAGTCAAAATTAGGTTTTCTAATTCTACTTAACCTGATTTTAAAAAATCAATATATAAACTCATTATCATCCCTGGATCTCTCAATCCAATAGTCAGAATCCTTTTTATTAAAGTGTCAGCTGTTTTGCTTCTTTCTAATTTTCTATACCTAATAAATGGCCCTCTCTATCCATGGTGAAACTGAGTCAAGTTAAGAGATAATTTTGCATCTGGTCTCTCCTCTTATTATCCAAGAGGAAGAGCTGACTCATTAAGCTAAGATGTGACATAGAAAGTAAAATTGTTACATAAAGGCAACAAAACCCTATGCATTGTGCCAGAAATGTGCATTCTTCTCCCCTAACATCTATTAGGAATACCAGGTCTACTTTCTGCCCTTGACATTAGCTGGAAGCAGCAGCTAATTCCTTGTACCTTAAGGCTTTTTGAACAGGCCCAAATCTTGGGGTTTGGGGGGTAGAGAATAACAAGTTACCACTTTTTTAGTGCTTACTACAATATATACCAATCACTGTTCTAAGCGCACGTACAGTATCAACTCATTTAATCTTCACAATGATCCCACGGATGAGAAAAATCGGGAAACAAAATTAAGTAACTTGTCCAAAATCTCACAGCAAGCGAGTGGAAAGACTGGGGAATTTATGTACAAATGTGACATTACACACAGCTGCACGCAGCAGCAAGTATAGAACAAGGAGGGGCTGCTCTGCTCGATACAATGTCCACTGGCTTTTTAAACAAAAAATCAAATCCCTGTTCCACCTGGAAACTTTAGAATCTCTTCGCACCTTCCCTCTCCCAACTACCACGCCCGAACTCCCCTCCCTCCACCCCATTTAAGTTGCAGATTCTCCCGACATTCCAGCCAAGAAGCTAAGAACTCTATTAAACTTGAGCAAATAAGCAAAAACTCGCCTTTTCTGGTCTCGAAACTAGTGGTTAAAGAACCTGACTGTCGAGAGGGCAGAGATTCATACTACTGGCCAAAGACACCAAGCACCAAGTGGAAAGGTCCGGGCATCAAGGTTACCTTGTACCGAAGGGCCTGATGAATATCGGCAGCCAGCTGTCCCCGCCACCACTGCCCCTCCAGCTCCATGGGACCCGGCGGCGCGCTTGGCCAGACGCGGCAACTTCAGCCTGCAAGACACACCCCAGACACGGTCACTGCCAGCTCCTTCCAGACGACCGTCCGCGCCCCCCTCCCTGAGGCTGTGACCTCAGGCCACCCGAAGGGGCTGTTCGGCTTCACGTGACTTTTCCTAAAACCAGCAGGATCAAAACCAATTCCCTGGCGCCACACTGAGGGCCCGAGCTACCCAGTCAGGAGGAACGAGCTTATTCTGAAAACTGCGGGACTGTGTGCCGGGAAAAATGGGACTAACCGGCCCGAGTTCCCACCGCGCGGACCCGGGTGCATACTCAGGAAGGCCGGAGAGGGGACCGGCTTTGGGATCCCTGAGATCAAGGTTCGAATTCTCCCGCCTGCCCTGAGGAGCGGAGAGACCTGACACCAGTCACAGCCCTCCTGAGGTGGAAACCGCCCGCAGAGAAAGCCGGAGACGAAAGCCCACCCGGGGCCGAGTCACGGCAGCAGACGGTCGGCTCGCTTTTTCCTGGGAGCCTCCCAGTGTCCGGGCTCGCACCAGGCCGCCTCCTCCTCGTCCTGAGGAGCGCACTGTGTCGCGCGGCCCCAGAAAGGCGAACAAAAGGCCGGGCCGGGTGTGTCTGGTGTCCGGCGCCCAGCCCAGGCCTGCAGGTCCCACGGCGGCCTCTCTTACCCGGAACCGTGGCCCTCACAGCCCCAGCCCCGCGACCATGCGGGGTATGCCGGCCCCGCTCATGCTGCAGACAGTCGGCCGCGAAGCGCCGGCCTCAGCTCGGGCCCAGCGCCTGGGCGCTCGCGCCGCCCATTGTTAAAGGACCGGCAGGCGGCTCCGCGTACAAAGCCAGCGCGGGGGCACATGCGGCCCCGCCGCTGCCAATCTCGTCTCGCGATACAGCGAGGTCATCTCCAGCGTCCAATCGGCAGCCGGGCCGGGCCCAGGTGCAGCACCGGGCGAGGGCTTCCCTGCCCACGTCTGGCCAGGGCAGCGTCGGGCCGGGGTAGCATCCCTTGCTTGCTTGCCGGGACCCCGCGGTTCGCGTAGTCCGAGCCCTAACTACGCCCAGCGCAAAGCCTGCCTGAGGTGTGGGCAGAAGTTGGAAGAGAGCACTGGGAAAGTTATAACGTTGACCATTATTCTGGTGGCCAGTCCGGTCATGCTGCTCACCTGCTGAGAACCTTCGATGGCGCCCCGGTGCCCGCAGAGTTCAGGTCCCATGCCTCAGCTTGGCGTTTAAAACCCTTCACATCTTGGATTCAGAATGTCTCATCTCACATTACAACAGTCCCTTACATCCTATGGGCTGCTTAGTGGGATTATCAGTTCCTGCATATGTGCTTTGGCCGTTTCAACAACCACTAAAGTGCTTTCTCTTGTGAAATTCTGCTCTCTTTTAAATTCCATCTTAAAACTTACTCCTTCTAGAACCCTAACTAATCTCTTCCCCTTCCTTATTTCCTTTGCTTTAGAGATGTCCAACACCTTTGAAAGGAGTTAAGATTACCTTTAGTAATCTAGTTTGTCAATTCCATAGTGGATGTAATTAACCATCTGAGGTCCTAAATCAGGAAACTACAAGTGTGGAAACACTCCAACATCAATTAAGATAATGTGGGATCTGAAATGTGATGAGCAGACAGTCTAATCAATTACAGTCTAATCAAATACAGTCTAATCAACTGTATTTTAACATGTTTGATGGAATATCACAGCAGAAGTGGATAGTTAGCCCAGGACAATGATCCTCACTTTTCTAAGAATGTAATCAATCTCTTTTAATATTAAAAAATAAATCACAGAACACTACCCTGTTCGGTTAGAAGCCTTTGTCCTAAAAGTTGCATGATAAAGAGCTGCTATAAGGTGATGAATGTATGTTTCATGAATTTGACAATGACATCTTCATACACTTGAAGAAAAGCTTGCAGGTATGTATGTGAGACAATGTTTATGTACAGAAGAGCAGGGCTACAGGAACCAATGGCAAGACAAGGGAAACTGAGAAGCAGAATTGGGCAGAGGGTTCCCTAGAGAGGAGATGGATGGGCTAAGAGCTCCATGCCATTTATAATGGCATTTAAATAGTACCTACCTCCTCAGATTCCAATTCATGTTCACTAAGCAACTTTATGACAATAATTTGGCTTCCCAGTAACAAACTTGCAGGGCTTATTTAAAAATCCTTTCAGGAAAATGGGACACAGATGATAATCATCAGTGTAGTAAATGGATTGTTTTTCATGGTTTCTACTTTTAAGATGTTATTCATTGGGAGATATTTGTTCAGAGATTTTTTTACTTTTGGGGTCTGCTTCATACAATGAAAGGACTTTAATATTCCTTCATTTCATAGATTAATATATGTGTGAATATGTATAAGTGTATCTTAGATTATAAGTCCTTAAATGCAAAATTTAGGTTTATTATAATTTCTTCATTAATTCTTTAAAGGCAAGGTGTACACAATTAGGTATTTACTTAATTCCTAAATAAAGTCTGCTCTCCTGAAGTTATATTCTAATGGGGAGTGAGAAATACAATAAAGGAACAAGAACAAAGTCACATGGTAACAAGTAGTCTGAAAAAAAACCAAACAGAAAAACGATACAAAGTGAAACTGGGTGGACATTGTTTTATGAGGTGAGGTGGGCAAAGGCCTGAGGGAGGTGAGGAGCCTGCAGATACCCGATGGCTGAGTGTTCCAGGAAGAGGGAACAGCAAATGTAAAGACCCTAAGGGGAAGGCATGTTGGGAATGAGTATATAGGTCAGTGTATGCCTGGAGCGAAGAGGAGATAGGAAAGACATTCCAATGCTCAGAAGCAGTGATCAGGAAAGCTGCAAAAGGATGGAAGTTAAAAAGGCAGAACTACATAATAAGCAGAGTGAGGGAACTGCAAAGAGTGCATTGTGCCGGCAGCATAAGGCACGAGACAGGTTTGGCAGGAGATGCGAGTGGGACCAGATTCTCTGGAGAGTTTTTCTAACTCGCTTCACTGTTGGCAGTGAAAAGCTACTTATTTTAAATTAAAAAAAAAAATGCATGCAAAAGGTAAAACATTCAAACAGTGAAAGACTATATGTGACTAGCGAGCGCCCTTCCCTCTGATCTGGTTCTTCTCAGAAGCAACATTATTACTATTTTTCTTTTGTTCTCTTCAAGGGATATACAGGTATTTATCACCACGCATGTGCATAATGTTCTTGCCCTATTCTGTGCACAAATGGTAGCACCTTACACTCTCTGTCATGTACCTAGCTTTTGTCATACTGTATATTGTGGTTAATATTTGGTTAATATTCCATAACAGAACGTTCAGAATTCCTTTCAATGGCTATAATGGAGGCAAAAGACTATAAACCAGAAGCCCTGGGCTCTCGTTCTTGGTTCTTGCTCTGTTGCTTCCAAGTGGAATGGCCTTAGAAGGTCATTTCCCTCCTCTGAGACTTAGGTTCATTATCTAGAAAGTGAACTGGATGATGACTGAGATTGCTCCTGACTTTAAAATTTTAGGTTCTTTGCTCTTGCCACACACATGTTACAACTGTTCTGTAGGGAAAGAGGCCCAACACTCCCTATAAAGCACTGATTATTATCCAGTTTTAAAGGTTTCAAATTTAAAGTACATCAAGGTAATTCATATACACCATTAAGAAGTCAAATATTTCTAAAAGGCATATAAACAAAAGCAACAGTTCCTTGTTCCACTCCCTCCCCACTTCCAAGTTCCATTCCATAGAGGCAACCACTTTGAACTCCTTTAGCTATTTTTTCACAGTATTTGCTATCATCTTTTAAAACAACATGCTTATGATTTTGATTTGTTACTTTTAGGTATATTTACATATTGTCCTGGAAAATGAAGATGTAGATGCTTTACATTACCTTTCACGCACACACATTTCATTCTTTCTTTTCCCTAATTTAGAATTTTAACATATTTTTGGTTACATCTATTTTTAGGTGTTTTCATTGTTACATAAAAAAAGCAATCCTTATTTGGTTAAGCTAGTGTGATTAGGTTTATGTTACATGCAACTGAATGCAAATCTGTGATAAATCATCTTTTTAAAAAAGATTTTATTTATTTATTTTTAGAGAGGGGGGAAGAGAGAAAGAGAGGGTGAGAAATATCAATGCATGAGAGTAACACTGATCCATCGCCTCTCCTATGCACCCTGACCAGGCCAAACCCACAACTGAGGCATGTGCCCTGACCTGGAAGCGAAGTGGTGACCTTTAGCTTTGTGGAACAACACCCAAACAACGGAGCCACAGCGGTCAGTGCGATAAAGCATCTTTTAAATCTCAACTCAAGCATTGCCTCTTTAAGAAAGGTCTTTCCTGACTTCTCTGCTTATACTGTCTATCACCACCAAAGTCCTTCTTCCACATCCCACCCTATTTGTTTCCTTCATAATACTCATCACATCCTGAAAGGATATCACTTATTTATTGTTTACCTGCTTATGTTCTCTTTCCAGTTTAAGAACATAAGATTCACAGAGGTAGAACCTTTGGCTTTTCGCTGCTGTACTCCAGCACATTCTGAAGTGTCTGGCACATATAGGATGCTCTGTAATTATTTGTGGAATGATTTAAAGAACTTTAAAGGTATATGTTACACTTAAAATAATGTATTTTTCAAACAAATGAAAAGCGGTTCATTTCATACAATTACATAATTTTCAGGAAAGTATTTCATTTGAGAAACACATATAGTACACATGTAAAGAAATACATTTAACACAGAAAAGTCCTCCATGCTTGTCTATGAACACTTTCTGCCTTATTCTTAGGTGGCTTATCAAATCTAAAACCATGAACAACTAACAAAATAGCTACGTAAACATACTAAGTGCCACGGAAATGAACAGCATGACTGTAGCATTTCTTTGGCAACCTCATCTTCCATAGATATCAGTTTGTGCTACTCCAATCAATGTGAGAGATTTGCTAATAACAAAACTTCGCATACCATTTAAACACAAATGTTCAAATAAAAACAAAAATTCTGATGAGTTTTCTTATGCACAGTTAGGTTTTAACTTTGGAGAAAAAAAATCCTTCATGTACATCCCTACTTTTTTGTTTTTTACTTTTCCAGTAATCTCAAGTTTCGTCTAAGACTAACACCATTACAAATAAATAAGGTCTTCTCTGGCACCAGTCTATGCAGATGAATTGTGGAGAGGATACAGAGGGGTCCCTGAGGTTGAATTCGCAGTCCCTGCTCTATGCTTATGGGAGTGACCCAAGAAGCCCCAGTGCTCCTACAATGCAAGAGGTGAAATTACTTCCTCTTATCCTTACCTCATGTAAAACTACTCTCATCAAACTTTGGAAATCTATAGCCTTTGAATGTTTTTAAACAAATAAGTTGTTATATAACATGTAAGTAAACTGTATAAATACTTTCCTTAGAACAAGAAAAAACTACAAGAAAGTATAATGCTTCCTACTTAGATCTCTGTCTGCTCTTTCTTGAGTGGCCTCTAGGATCTCAATGGGCTTCCCTGGGGCCACCACTGGGCAAGGAAAGCAGCAGGAAAGTGCCAGAAGCAGAATGGGGAGCTGTTCACTAAGAAAAAAAGGAGTCTTGAGATTTGATACAACCATTTTCTCCTTTTTTCACAGGATCAGGAAAGCTCATTAGTTTTCTGGGAGTCCCTCACAAATACTTGGAGCTGAAAGGACTTCACATCAGTAGCATCCCAAGTAAAAGATTTTGAGAAGCTCCCAGAAGCTGAGACCTCAGTCCTCAACCCCACTTATCAGGTTTTCCTATTATTCTTCATCAGTGAAATCATCTTTTATCTTATGAGAGGC